CCCACCTGGTTTCTAGCTACTGGATCTCACCGGACTTGGTGTGGGAAGACAGTTGCCTTTGTAGGGAAAAGGAAAAAGCGATCAAATGCTTATTTTTGCGGGGCAGCGCAATATGGCATGTTATGTTAGACATCATACGGCATGTTGAAATTGGCGTGATAAGGATAGGTGCTGCGCCATGTTCACCCCGTCCACTGCATTGTTCCAGTAATACTGTCCCCTTCTCTGGACATAAACATTCACGTGGTTGTCATTTCAACCGAGGTGGCGATCATGAGACTAGCGTAGTGGAGTTTGGCGTTGCCGCATTTTCCAGGGTAAAAGCGCAGAAGCTTTATGCTTCACCAATGCGGTCTGAATGAAATACTCGGAAGGTTCTAATCCCCTTTTAAACTACAAAATCCACGAGTCTATCTAGGGCTAGGAGAAGCAAGAAGTTCAAAATATTTTATTTGACACCTTTCTTAATCCGTTCTTCTACTTATATTCAGGGTTCGATGGCTAATTTCTTCATATACGATAGAAAAACGTATTAGAGCTCCCCCAGTCGGGCGCACGATCCCAAACCAAAGAAAATTTGATACTCATATAGTGAAGCTACCATAGCAAGTTGATTAGTGAGCAGCGGGAGTTGTAGTTTATGCTCTATTAGCTGAGAAGCTTCTACCGGTTTTTATCTTTAGGCTGAATTGCAAGAACTTGCAAGTAGAGAAAAGAATACAGTCTACGAGAGCACACCGTCAGCCCGGCCCGAAGACGTAGTGACTGCAGATTCCAGCATCGACGACTACCAGAATCTCTCGGGTGCAAAATCCATTCGAGAGAAGTTCCAGGACCCCAGCAAACTACAGCATGAAGTGAAGAAGACAGTGAGTTCTGCGACAACAAAGCTCACCGTGCTCTATTCATTCACCTTAGTTTGAGGACTGAATTGGGCCACGGGCGCCCTCCAATAATTAATCGAGAGCTTCTACGCACTAGTATCTGTTAACTCGCTTTAGCCATCCTAGTGCGACCCATTTTATTGCATCCAAATTTTCGTTTATCAGGAGTTTGCTATCCTACAGAAAGAGTAATGTTTTCTTAAGCCTGAAGACGACGTCCATATTAATCTGATGTCCCGGACTAGACAAACGTTCTGCACGTAAAGTGTTTACAGAAGCGAATGCTCAAGACTGCAAACCATTACTGTCATGGCTGTTATTACCAGCCTCTAGGCCATGCTTTAAACATTGACTTTAATCAATGATGCAAGAATTTATGGGACTTATGCCACACTACCTCGTCATCATGAACAGCAGTGTTGTGACTGGTCAAATGCCACCAATGTGGAAGAC